GCTGGGTTTTATCCAACTTTCACCTTTTAGTGACAAACACCAGCACAGAAAATCTGTAAGCAGCAAATATTGGGGCGTGAAACATCAGGATGGGCAAAAAGAGGGAAATTATTGAATTTTGGGGGGAAAAACCGCTCTGGACATCTTTAGAAGGATGACAGAGCAGGAACTGTGCTGTGATTGGGTTTGTTCTGGGATGGTGCTCGTTTTCTGTCATAGGGAAAATACATTCTTTAACCTGTGGGAATTTAAACTCAGCCCTGAATGACCTCAGGCTGAAAGGGATTGAATAACTCCCTCTCTTCCCTCCTTTGAGGGGTGAGCTTTGCTTTTATTTCTGTGTCCCACGGGGCCAAAGAGAAGGAACTTTTGTACCACTGAGACAGTGGTGGTGGCTGTTTTGTCCAACATCATCCCCAAAATACCTTCCTGGATGTTAAGGGAGCTCAGGAGGGCTTCTGGTGACTTCCCAGTTATTTATTCATGTCCCTGAAGTGAAATCAGTGACTCAAGGACAGCAGGAGCAGATTTAAGGTGCTTAAAGCTGACACAAACTGCTGCTTTACAGAGGTTTGTCTCCATGTTTCAGCTTACTTCCCAGTTTGAGTCCTTTGCTGAACATTTCCTGGTTTCCCCATTCCTGCTGTGGATTTATCTGGCAAAGTTCATGGGTTTCTTTCTGGTTTGTGATGTGTTATTGGGTTTTTATCCAGGTTTTTAAACATTTAGTGTTGAATACAATTGTGTATTCTATTGAGTGCTCATCACACAGGCCCAGGGTTGGGTCAGCAGAGCAGGATTGGTCTCCAGGCCCTGGAAGTGAATGTTCACATTCCACAACAATTCATGGAATTGATGATTCCATGAATTCTTTGTGTCTCAGCTCCATCTCAGCCCTTCCTTTCCTGCTGGAGCCACGTCCCTGCTTTGCTCCCCAGGCCATTATTGACCCCAAAATGGGAATATTGAGCTTTGACTCTGTGATTTAGAAGGCTGAACAATTGTTTTATTAAGCTATACTGTATTACACTATATACTACACTAATATATATATACTTATATATATATATATACTATATATAATATACTACATACATATATATATATACTAATATATAATATACTACATATATATATATATATATACTAATATATAATATACTACATATATATATATATATATATATTTATACTACTAATACTAAAGAAAAACTCGTGGCACAGCTTTGATTTAATTGGTCAATCAATCTGAGCAACCATCACCAGAGTCCAGTTAACAAATCCCTGTTGGTAAACAATCTCCATAACACATTCCCCATGTGCCAAACGACATTAGCAGCAAACAGAGATAAGAATTGTTTTCTCTCTCTGAGCTGTCTCCCTGCTTTCCCCAGGAAAGGTCCAGGGAGAGGGAATTCTGTCTCTCCCTGTTAAAGGAGTGTGTGAGGCCATGGCTCAGCTTCCCCGGCCCTGCTGTACCTGTGGGGCGCCCCATGGCAGGGAGGAATGGTGAATCTGACTCCATGTTTATTATTTTATAATACTATAATACTATATACTTATATATATTTAATACTATAATTAAATATTATAATACTATACTATATATATATATATAGTATAGTATTATAATATTTAATTATAGTATATAATATATATAGTATATAATATAGTATTATATTATATATATAATATATATAATATATAGTATAGTATTGTATATAATATATATATAATACTATAGTATACTATATATATAGTATACTATAGTATTATATATATTATATACTATATAAATATAGTATATAATATATATATAATACTATAGTATACTATATATATATATAGTATACTATATATAGTATACTATAGTATACTATACTATACTATATACTATATAATTAATATTATAATACTATAATACTATAATATTATATAGTATAATATAATACTATAGAATAAAACAGAACGCTATCCTAAACTGTGCTGAAGAATACAGAAAGGATGCAGACAGAGGGGTGAAAGATAACAATGAGAACTTCCTGACCTGTCATCCTCCATCACCTGCTCATCCTCCACCTCCTCCTCCCGTTTCCTCCTCTCCATCAGGACCTCTCCCCGTGTCCCAGTGGGAAATTCCTTCAGGAGCAAGGAGACCCCACGGGATGGTCCCTGTGCAATGAGATGGGCCTGGGGCTGCCCCTGACCTGGGGCAATTGGGGCTGGAGGGAGGAAACGTCACCCCAGCTCTCCCTCAGTGGGGTGAAATGGGATATTTGAGATAATTAATGCAGTTCATTGAAAGCTGGAAGGGTATTTCACTTTTCTTGTGTAATCCCAGCACAAACCTTTCCTTTCCACAACGTTGGTACAGCTCTGACCTCGCTCCTGGTGCTCCCAGCCAGGGTCAGCACATCCCCAGTGAATTCCTGCGTTGGTTTTTCACTTTTCTCACATTTTATTGCTGTCCCTAAGAGTTACTGATGCCTTTCGTCTTTTCTCCCCAGGAGTGGAAAGCTAAATAACCATTTAGAAGCTGCTATACACGAGGCCATGAGTGAACTAGACAAAATGTCTGGGAATGTAAGTTCCTTTTCCTTGGGATATTCTCCTTTTCCATCTTTCTGCATGTGTGTCCATTGGAGGGGGGCTTGCTTTGCGTGGCTTTCTAACAAATCCTGGGTTTATTTTCTGGAATAACGAGGAATTTTCAATATTTCCCCTGCATTAAAAACTTCACAGAGATCTGATGGTTCTGAAAAATGGGAAAAGTTGTAGGATTTTAGGTGCGTTGCAAATTTTATTGCTTTGGACAAAAGAGATTTACACATCCAGCCTGATAATACTGGGATGAGTTCCTGTTCCAGGGGCTCCTCTGGCTCCTGCCACCAAATCAAACTCATTTCCTTCTCAGCTGCAGTAGCAGGGTAGAGAAACCACATTTGAAAGCACCTTTCTTTTGAGTGCAAAACTCTTGGAATTCAAATTTCCCCATGAGAAATGAAAGATATTGTCATGAAAGTTAAGTTCAAAAAAAAAAAAGAATATTCCTAATATACCCAAGAGTGGTTTTTCCACACTAATTACAATTATTGTATCTTTCCAATAACAAGTTTGGTCTATAAAGTATCCTCATATATATTTCTAGAACATGCCTGTAATTTCATTGCAGCCCACCTAAAAATAAAAAGTAAATCTATCACAGCACATGTAACCTCCCACATCTTCTATTTGGTCATTCATTACTCAAATTATTAATTATAAAATGTTTGAACACAGGGGAAAAAAGGTTTTTTGCTGTTACTCAGTGCTCAGGACTGAAGATGTGCAGGCTTGGAATTTACAGTAACACTTTTGGAGCTTCTGGGGTACAAAAAGGAAAAATATTTATGTATATATTTGAAGAACTGAAGGCTTAGAGCTGACTTCAGACCCAACAAGAAATATTTAAAAAATTATTGAGTAGCTTTTAAGTAAGAACACAGGCAAATTTTCTTAAAGCTGAATTTAACAAACTGAGATTAGAGCTTTGATTTAAAATAACGTTGTTGTGTTTCCCTCCTTTGGAAGGACAAGGAGAGCAGGAGTTGTTGATCTGTAATAAATAAATTTGGGATGGGTGTTTGGGCTGACCCATCCTGCTGCCACCTTTTCCCACCCATAACTCCAGGAATATCAAAAGCTGCCTGTTCTGGGCACCCAACAGGAAATATTTTTAAAATTACTAAATTTTTTAATAATTATATTATATATAATAATTCTTTAATATATATACCTCGTGCTGCTGCTCCCTGAGCAGCCAGCAATGCCAGACTTGGGCTCTCAATCCAACCATAGCTGGGAATTGAATGTTTCCTTTTAAACAGAATTTCCTGCACATCCCTCATTTCTAAATAACACCCCTGAGCTGGGCTTCCCAATTTCCCATTTCCAGCATTTTCTCACCATNGGCACATCCTGCAATAACATGGCACATCCATGTCCTCACATTTCCTGCAATAACATGGAACATCCATGTCCTCACATTTCCTGCAATAACACGGCACATCCTGCAATAGCATGGCACATCCATGTCCTCACATTTCCTGCAATAGCATGGCACATCCATGTCCTCACATTTCCTGCAATAACATGGCACATCCTGCAATAACATGGCACATCCATGTCCTCCATTTCCTGCAGTAGCATGGAACATCCATGTCCTCACATTTCCTGCAATAACAGGGCACATCCTGCAATAGCATGGCACGTCCATGTCCTCACATTTCCTGCAATAACATGGAACATCCATGTCCTCACATTTCCTGCAATAACATGGAACATCCATGTCCTCACATTTCCTGCAATAACATGGCACATCCTGCAATAACAGGGCACATCCATGTCCTCACATTTCCTGCAATAACAGGGCACATCCATGTCCTCACAATTCCTGCAATAGCATGGCACATCCATGTCCTCACATTTCCTGCACTAACATGGCACATCCATGTCCTCACATTTCCTGCAATAACATGGCACATCCATGTCCTCACATTTCCTGCAATAACATGGCACATCCATGTCCTCACAATTCCTGCAATAGCATGGCACATCCATGTCCTCACANAGAAGGCATGGAAGGTTTGTGCCCTGATGGAGGAATGGCTGGATGGGGATTGACTTCCCTGTGCCATTCCAGGTGAGGAATGTGCCCTCACTGAGGGTGGGACTTTGCCATGGAAGTCAGAGAAATGGATTTGCAGGCAGAAATGCAAACAGCAGCTCCAGCTGAACAACCTGTGGGGGCTGGAATAGCATGGCACGTCCATGTCCTCACATTTCCTGCAATAGCATGGAACATCCATGTCCTCCATTTCCTGCAATAACATGGCACATCCATGTCCTCACATTTCCTGCAATACCAGGGCACGTCCATGTCCTCACATTTCCTGCAGTAACAGGGCACATCCATGTCATCACATTTCCTGCAATAACATGGCACATCCATGTCATCACATTTCCTGCAATAACATGGCACGTCCATGTCCTCACATTTCCTGCAATAACACGGCACATCCTGCAATAACACGGCACATCCATGTCCTCACATTTCCTGCAATAACATGGCACGTCCATGTCCTCACATTTCCTGCAATAACACGGAACATCCTGCAATAACACGGCACATCCATGTCCTCCATTTCCTGCAATAGCATGGCACATCCATGTCCTCAATTTCCTGCAATAACATGGAACATCCGTGTCCTCACAATTCCTGCAATAACCTGGCACATCCATGTCCTCACATTTCCTGCAATACCAGGGCACATCCATGTCCTCACATTTCCTGCAATACCATGGCACGTCCATGTCCTCACATTTCCTGCAATAGCATGGCACATCCATGTCCTCACATTTCCTGCAATACCAGGGCACATCCATGTCCTCACATTTCCTGCAATAGCAAGGCACGTCCATGTCCTCACATTTCCTGCAATAACAGGGCACATCCATGTCCTCCATTTCCTGCAATAGCATGGCACATCCATGTCCTCACAATTCCTGCAATACCATGGCACATCCATGTCCTCACATTTCCTGCAATACCATGGCACGTCCATGTCCTCACAATTCCTGCAGTAACATGGCACATCCATGTCCTCACATTTCCCATCTCCTGAGGGCTCTGAGTCTCATTTTGCTCTGAAAGCAGCTTTTCCACAGCACCCTGCTCCGTGGCTCACAGCAGCTGTGCCCTGGATCCCTGAGGAGTTCCAGGCCAGGCTGGGCAGGGCTTGGATCCGCCTGGGATGGTGGGAGGTGTCCCCATGGACGGTGGCGCTGGGATGNCCAGTCTTGGCCTTAAGAGTTTCATGAACCAAAAGAACAAACAGGAGATAACAAATGGAGTGTTGGGAAGGAATAAACCTTTGTCATTTATAACTTGGTTGTGACAACAATAAAAAATAGATAGCCAAGTGTTAGACAATAAATCAATAAATACAAAATCCTTTTTAAAAATATATTTTTAAATTTTGGAGAGGTACAAATGTGGTTTTTGCCACCCTAAAGCCAGCAAGGGGACAATGACTTTTATGAAATTGCCCATAAATTGCTGTTTTTGCAGCCACCTTGCCAAGTTTCTGTCCAGATGTGGGGTCCAGGTGTGCTCCCAACACCTTTCACCCTGGGATCAGGAGTGTCCTCAGCCACATCCATGCCAAGGGGGGTGGAAGGAGTTAGTGCTGATGTGAGGCATGGAAACATGTCCAGGGCACATGTGATCCGTGTTAAAATGCTTGGAATGCTTGTGGGGGAATTGGGCTGGAGCCTGGTGATGGTGCAAATCAAATCTGGGACAGGCAGGGAGTCCTGGCCGGGGCAGATTTGAGTCAGGTTTAGCTGAAAGGAGAGTCGAGCTTTGGGAGTAACAACAAAATATCTGCATCTGCTGGAACTGATTGGCTTTGCTGAGAGCAGAGCTGCTATCACTGAGGAATAAAAGAAAGGCAACAAAGCCCAGCAAGCAGCAAACGATGAATTATTCAATGCAAATGTCAACTTTTAGTGGTGGCTGTGGCTGTAAATCTTCTTTTGCAAGGCTGAGCGTTGCCATTAAGCAACTCCATATGATGCTACATCTGTCAGATTTCTTTTGTATCATTTTATTTTTATGGATGCCGGGGAAAAGTATTGGGAATTTCCACGCTCAAATTTTATTAACATCATTTCCTCACTTTCTGTCATCCTCTGATTTAATGTTGGGTTGATTTTTCTGGCAAGGGTTAAATCCATGCCCTCTTCTGTGACATCCCAGGCCGCGAATCTTCACATGAAAATCAGCTTTTGCTGATAAATTTTAATTTTTCTGTGTGCTGAACCTGAGTTGAATTGCTGGGGAATGGTGAGGGAAGAGTGAGGAGGTGCCATCGCTGTGCCAGCGCCGGGGGATCCCTATCACATCCATACCATCAATCTGCCCAAGGATTTCTATAGCTCCCATTATCCCCCTGCCTCCAGGATAAGGAGCTGGCAACAATTGCCCATTGTCAGTTTATGAAGGAACTTTTTCATCTTCCTTCCCCAAAGACTCGATTCTTAATTAAGTAAATTAAAATTAATTACGGAATGGGTACAACAAGATGTTATCGGGGTGTGCCCGAAGTGAGCTGTGTGTGC